GATATTTTTATAGAAGAGGGGACATCTCAAGTGTAGACATGACCAGAAAATATAAACAAGCCTGTAGAGTGTAAGATTTTCTGAGTAAAGTTTTTTCTTAGAAAGCCCTTTTCTTTGCAAGATGCATTAAAATTTTTTGTTGGTGTTCACTGTCAAGGGTTACGTTTTCATGTGACATCTGAAACATGAAATGAAGGGATATCTATCCTGGTAGTGATAAAAGTACCATGTGTAGAGGAAAACCATGCTTGAGAAATTTTTGGTCCTTCTTTCCTCTGTAACTTAAAAAGTCAGCATAGAGGTCACTGATTTTTTTTTTTTTTTTGAGGCCAGAAAGAATTTCGCAGGAAGAAAGTTTCTACCTGCACCAAAAGGAAGCCAGATTGCTGGTCCTGAGAATTAAGAGGGTTCTGAGGGGTTATGTAAGGTAACAGATGTGGAGTTAAACCTGCAAGTGTTAATTAACAGTGTATCTGTAGCAAGTGATTAAGTACTTTCAGATTCCAGAAGCATCCATGGTTTTCTGCATGCACTGTTATTAGAGAATTACATAGTGTATTGGTTATTACTGACCAGGCGAAAAGCAAGAAGAGGGAAGGGGAATGCAATAAAAAGGAGGGCACACACTGTCTCTAATAAACATAACAACTATGAACATGCCAAGATGAGAAGCTTAAAAGGAAAGTGGCATCAGGAGGCGATTTATTCATGACTGACATGGCTAAGCTACGGCAAGATCTCTCCCAACCGCACTACAGTAGCAGAGACTAGTTCCATCAAAATGGGTGAAAAATACTCCAGCAGTTGCTACTGGCAATTGCCAGAGATAAGGTCTGAAAAATAGATTCTGTAGACTCATTATTTCTAATTCAACAGAACTATGAAAAAAAAATAAGTTGCTATGTGAATACAACTGTCGTTCGGTAGGAGCGCTGCCCCCAGCACAGGAGAGTCTGCAGAACCGCAGAGTTGCAGAGCTTCGTCTATAACATCCCTTACAACGATTTTTCCAAAATCATTCAAAACAGTTCTATTTTGACCTCTCTTGTCCTACGTAATACATAGAGGTGCAAAGGTGACTGAGTCATTCATTAAGCGACTATAATATAATCAAGTCTAAAATCTTTCCCAAGGGCATCTCCTACCAGGTTCATCTACTAGCAGACAGACTGGGTGGTGGCAGTGAATTACAAGTGTGCACATCTTGCATGTTCAAACAAGGGCATCTAAATAATTCCAAAAAGCAGTGTTGCTGTTTGCCATTCGTCAGATGTCGTTAGAAATTTCTAAATATGCTTGATACATAGTACAGCAAAGAACCTAGTAAATAATATCGATAGGATCATTCAATCACCATTTTCATAAATGAACAAAAGGCACAAGACATTACCCTATGAGCTCAGCCTGGCTGTAGAAACTGCCCCTGGAAAATCTGATGAGAACTTGCATGCTAAAAATAAGGAACATGGAAATAACATAAAAGAAAAGACTTTTTCTTTATTTTTGAGAAGATGCAGAAGCACTTAAAATTAAATACCATTCAAGTCTGATCATTCAGTAAGTAAAAGTACATTTACAATGTGTCTACCAATATATAAAGGGACATTCAATGCAAGTGTGTCATTGCCTCCAAAATGTAAGCTTTAAAATATAATTTCAAAATAAATCTATAATGATCAAAATATATCTATAAAGAGAAAAAAGCATAAGCAGCTAAGGATAAGAAGGAATTTTATCCATCCTTCTTCTGCAATGCCTTTTACTTCGGTTGAGGACTTCAGCTCAGACCTTCCTAGACTCATACCAGGACGATTAAAATGAGTCTCCTGAGTAGTTCATCCTGCTTCAGCCACCTTAATGCTCTCATTTCCTGTTCAAAAACCTTTACTGGTTTTCCACAAAAGAAAATCTAAACTCCTTGGCACCAATCAATGCATTCCTCCAGGCATATAACCACCAGTCCTCATCCACAGGGGCTGACATCTCCTACCTCATCCCCAGGCCCAGTCACACTAACAATGCATTCCTGCATCTCTTCATAATTGTGGTCTTTCTGAAATGTCCTCCCCTCTGCCTTATGTACATATATCTGAATTCTACCCTCAAGGTCAGGTCACCCCTAACACATTCCCCAGTCCTCCAGGCTGACACATCATCTCCTATACACTCCTTACTCTAGTCTATAACTTATTCCAACTGTACCACAAAATTTAAGGGCATTTCTTATACCACTTCTTTCTATTCTAGCACCTTCTACCCAGCCCCTTCCCCCATTCATGACAATGGCCAGAGTAGCATCTTTCTGATGCAGAGGCTCAGCTAATTCTACTGAGTCAAAGACACATAATAGCAATGATGCAGGAAAACTGAAAGCAAACTATTAATAATGTGAGGACAATTTGGACCAAATAAGACTTTTGAGAAGCTAAATTTTTTTTTCTTTAAAATTTCCAAGGATTTAGAATCCAAGATGCTGGCAAAGATTTGTTTTCTCCCAGCAAAAACAGTGAAGAGTTTGCCCTAGACATCCTGCTTTTCTAATGTGACCCCAAATGTGTCTGCTCACCCCATGACAGTTCACTGCAAATGCCTGTTCTTTGGTCTGTCCACAAGAGTGGCTCCTCGAAAGCAAAGACGTGTCCATTTCTGATCTCTACATGTTAGTAGCCCATGTACAAGGAACTCAGTCAATGATTGACCTAGCACCATGATTATCTAAAGCAAACACAATTAAAGAATAATCTTTACTAGGCACATAAATGTTAAGTAAACTTAATTCATGACTGAGATTTCAAATGAGACACAGGACCAAAATTCTAAAGACTATGTTTATGTAAGTATTAATTACAAAAGTGAACACACAAAAAAAAAGTCAAGAGAAACTTTCTGTGAACAAATGTGTGTGCATGTGAGTGATTTCTATGTATCAGACAAAATTGCTAGAAGAAATCATCATTTGTAGGGGGAAAATGAGGGGATGGTGGGGGATTTTCTAATTTCTACCCTTCTGTATTGCTTTTTTAAACTATAAAATATGTATAACTTTCAAATTAACTCCTCCCCACACAGAGTGATGGAAGTGTTAGCTATCTTGATTGTGGTGGTGGATTCATGGATGCATACATCTATCAAAATTCATCAAATTGTACATTTGAAATATGTGTAGTTTATTGAATGGAACTATACCACAATAAAGGTGTTAAAAAAAAAACAAACTCCCCATACAAACCCAAAGAGCAGTCTAATGGCAGTTAAGATGTTTTTTTATGTGTAGGTTGTCTACCACTAGAGTAAACTAAAGAAATTTTAGACTTAAGAGCTGAGTGTGATAGAAAACATAGACAGGTTTTGGATGTCCAGTGGGGAGATTTTGTTTTTGTGGCTTAATGTCTGTGTAACAGTGGACACACTCCTTCTTTGCTTTGTATTTCCTAATTTAAATTCCTTCATCTATTTGTTCAACACTCCTATACATTTAAGGATAGAATTACCCAAAGGAGTAGTCCATCCTTCAAAGTAGTGAAAAGAGATGGTCCAAGAGAGCAATAAGAAAAGCTTCTCAGATATTCAGTGAGAAAGAAACAACCCCTCCTCCTCCACAGTGACTTGAACTAAAATGCGCTTTATAAGGAAAGTGCTCAGTCCTCAGAACAGAAGGTGTACATTGAAAAATGTCCAGGCATCTCACATCTCCAGTTCCTTTTATCAGGGTAAAGAAATCTGGCGTCTGTGGGAAGTTTTAAAGCACACGACATCAGCCCCTCGTGGGCCATGATCTCATCTTCATACACGAAGCTCCTAAGATAATCTAGAAAATAGGAGCTTCTTAGTGACCGTTAGTTCAGTGAATGACATTTCCTCTAACAGTACACACCTGTAGAAGTCAACAGAATGACACAGCTCTGGTAAGCAAGGAAAGAATTCTGGACCCACTAGATTTCCATTTTCACTTAAAAAATATATTTAAAAACACAAATGATAAAGACCACCTTGATGAAATGACTCTGAATCCAGTTTGATTTGATACCATTTCCTGACGTTCTCTAATGAGCTGCAGGAATTTGATGTGGTGCCTTAAAAAAAAAAAGTAGGGTGGAAGTGGCCACAGATAACAGGAGTGGGAAATCCTCAGTTCTGTTCTACTTCCTTCAGGCCAGGAGAGAGTTGTGCCTACACCTTGACACAGATACATTTCCATATCTCAGTGGCTGATGAGGCAAACATTTTTTTATCCTCCCAAAAATCAAGACTCATCTTTGTACCTTGCAGAATTTCTGGAACTCCTCCTCTGGGTCTTGTCAGCTCACCACATTGCAAAGATGAGAAGAGAGTTGCTTTTCCTACCATTCCTGCCATCTGGAAGACCCTCTTTGTTTCATTCTTCCCCATAAATAGTCCATCTGTGCTCAAATCTCATGGTGAAATGCATCCTTGATCTTTTGCTTCCACCTCTTAATTTATCCTACTTCAGTTCCTGCCCTAAGGTTTAATTTTTCTGTATCAAGCTCTTGTTTTCCATATTTGGCTATGCTGGCTGCATCTTTCTGGTTAATTATTATGGGGGAAAATTTTAGGACCAATCTCCTTGAAACAAAGTTACGGTTTTGACTACAACTAAGCCTCTCACAACCTTCATATAAAAGCAGTAAACCACAAGATACACTTCAAATTTTTACCAGCAGTTATTTTAAAGGAAGAAGGGGAGGAAGAAGATATTTTTAGAAAGCTTTCCAGATTTATAGAAGTTTTAAGTGTATTAAAGCCAGATAATTAATTCCAAACAGCTTTAATACTTCCCCCACTTCTAGACCAAACCAGGTGACAAAATTAAAAAAGGAAAGGAAAGAAGGGAGGGAGGGAGAGAGAGAGAAGGAAGGAAGGAAGGAAGGAAGGAAGGAAGGAAGGAAGGAAGGAAGGAAGGAAGGAAGGAAGAAAAGAGAAGAGAAGAGAAGAGAAGAGAAGAGAAGAGAAGAGAAGTTGCCAAATGGCAGTGTACCTACCTGAGGGTAAGGGGAAGTCCTGGACTTTGACTTGGAGCTGGAGAGCCTGGACTTGGCCCCCTTCCTGTTGTCAGTCATGGCAGGGGTGGAGCTGCTTGCATAGGAGAAGGCTGGCTTGGAGGCGGAGATCTGATCCAGGGACAGCTGCAGGCCTTTGTATTCCGTGTCCCTGCAGGGTGGGAAGATACAGCCCTTAATCAGCCAGCGCAGGAAACAAATATGCAGGTTCTCTCCCTAGAAATGCAATCACCCGTATTTGAGAAGGAAGCAAGCCAAAGTCAGCCATATAACTGGTTTTCCACCTTGGTTATTTTAGAAGTGCCTAACATTTAACTGGTGTGTATGGATGCGGCTTCCACGTGTACCATGCCAAATTATATGATAGGTTCATGAAGATGTCTTGATTTTAAAATATTTTTTTCATTATTTTTGTATAAGCAGAAAATAAACCTGTAATCCAAGTTCTCTGAGCTTTGTGTCCTCACTGGTGAGATATGGATTATAACATCTACTCTAAAGACTTTCCGTGTGGGGTGAGCTCAGCAGACAACTGACCATCTGATGCTATCTGATTATTGGCAAGAAGAATGTCTTCCATCAGCTGTTCCAAGCTCAGTCATTTTGGTCAACATTCCAAATATTCGTCTGGCTAGCAAACTAGTGTATCCAGGCTTATAAGTGGTTAAAAATCCCTTTCAGCAGGCTAACTAATTCAGTTACCTTAGGGTACACGTTCCCCCCAAGTTCCTTCTACTCCATCATTCAATAAATATCATTAAGCTCCTAATATATACCAGACTTTGTGTCATGTGGAGATGAAAGGGTAAATGAGACGTCCACAGCCCCTGCCCTTGTGCAGAGTACAGTCTACTGGGGAGAAGAAACAATAAACAAACAAGCGTTGTAACTGCAGGCTGGGATATGACGTGGATAAAGGGTGTGTCTCAGAGATTCACCACCAAGGCATTGCTGCAGGTATGCAGGGACTCAAGATGACAGCGTGGCCCTGCCCACAGCTACCACCTCAGCCTGCTTCCAGGCAGCAGGGAGTCTCGTCTGACTCCTCAGTTTTCATAAGAGGATATCAACTCTTCCCACTGGCAGCCAAAACAAAATGTTTCAGAGCCTTCTTTATGAGGACCCGTCGGAGAATTTTCTCTCAGGTTCCAGAATTAGCTGGGCTGCGCCTGAGTAATTGATTTCTTTTTATCTCATGAGCCCCGTGAATCATTTCACTCATCATGTTTCCCTCTTTGCACTGAAGTCAAAAAGCCCAGAGCCCCACGTCTGATGCGTAACCAGCTCTAGCAAGCGCACAAGTCCTCGCGGCGGGCGTTTTCTGCAACAAATACCTCTGCTTCCTTTATTTTTCTTATCTTATTTTTCCTTTTGCTAACGGGTTCACCTTTTAAAACATTTTACATGCATTTTCAATCTCTTTGGATTAAGATAGGCATATTAAATGTAATCAATTGATAAAATTTTATATGTAAAAGTGACTGGCAGATTTCCGCGGATCGGCAAATATTCATTTACCTTCTTTTCCTTTTCCCTAGCTCTTCTTCTACAGAGAGATCAGTCAAGAGCAAAAGTATAATTCAAGCAAGAAGCTCCTCCTCAAGTGACCAGGAATAGAAACCAGCTAAAACCAGTCCAATAATATCACTGCCACAAACTGCAGTGTAGAGACAGATGTCATCAAATTACAATGGCTTCATATCAAATAGTCCATCTACTCAGTGCAAGTTAAAAAAAAATTCTCCTATATGAGTAACAAAAATTTAGAAGGTAGGCATGCAGTTTGTTTTTCAGGCTGGGAGAGTCTGGTCACATGGCTGGTCTGCTCTACTGTGCAAATCACTTCCAAGGACGACACACAGCACAGACTCGAGCACTCCTTGATCAGAAACTCAATGCCCTCCAAAATGTAGCTCGTATCTATTTTTCTGGCAATAACTCAGAATTTTCCTTCATCAGCACCTCACTTCATTCAAAATTGTTCTCACTGCACTGACCTTGTATTTTCCTGATATTGTTCCTCCTCCAACACATACTTATAAAACTCCTCTTATAAAGAACTATCTTAAATCCCACTCAGCTCCAGGAAGCCTTTCCCAATGGCTAAACCCATCCATTCCTTCAATAAGTATTTACTGAGTGTCTCTGTGGAGGCCCTGGGGAGACATCAATGAACAGAAGGACCAAGTCTCTACCTTCATGACCAAGGCACCAGAGCCAGTTCCTGAGAGAAGTAGGGAGGGGACTGGAAGCTTATCTCTTTCCTCCTCTAATCTTATTTTTCAAGTGATTATGTCGTATCTTTCCCAGTGGATTCTATGTTCCTAGAAGACTAGAGTCAAGAGATACTCTCTCCTATTCCAATGGCATTTTGTATAGTATTTCACACAGATAGAAGAGGAAGAAGGTAAGGATGCAACCAGGAAAGGATTGCTTCCTTCTATGACTACTAATAATTCATGACCCAGCAGCCTTTCTCTGTGAGAAAAGACCCCTGTGGGCTGTGGGTCCCCTGACCCACCTGGCCCTGAGGTCGCATGCATGCGACAGTGAGCAAGCTGGACCCATCCAAGAGGGAGAGCCCCCATCCTCGGGCATCTTCTGTTTCAAATGTACTTCTGTCCACTGGTCAGCAGAGTATCTACATAGGCCCTGACAGAAAAAGTCATGCACCCCTGAAAACACAGCCCAATAATTTTTGTTAACTCATTCTTGATGTAACATTTCAGCACAGAGACTTCATGGCTGTAAGCAGAGCATAAACAAGGATTCACTTTTCTCTTGCACACTGTCAGACCCCAGAGTACGCATCTCAACAACTGAAAAAGTCCCTCCAAAATGTTTGCATAGTTTCCAATGATAGAAATATTCCAAATTAAATAGGCTTAAAATTTTAAAGCCAATAGATGATTTTAAATTCTACATATTCAAATGAAAAAGCCAATAAATATAAGAAGAGTTATACAAATACTTTTGATACACCAATAACAATATTAATACTTTGGTGCACACCAAAAAATACAGAAAAGAATCCACCAAAGTTGAGCAGAAGACCACAGTCGGGTAGATCACAGTTTGAGCCTCTGACTGTGTGACAACCTGTCTAGACTTCAGTTTCCTCTTTAAAACTCATAGGGATATGCTGAGATCCAGATGACATATTACATGAAAATCTCACAGCATGATGCGTAGAAGAACATAGTAAATGCTCGATAAACAGGATTATTTCTTAACGTCCACGCTCTGTGGCACTTTTTGGCACCTGAATGCCCCAGAACAATAGTTTCACTTTGGTAGCAACTGTAATACATTTCATTACAAACAACTGCCATGCTTATTTCTTTCCTTTCTACCCCAAACACATCTTAATTTGCTCTGTTCCTTTTTAGCCTATAAACTCTATTGTGGTGTGGCCAAAATATCTATTAAAGGTAAGTTCTTTATTGCTAAGTTGGCAAACAAAGACCTTGGAGCAACATAGACCCAGAACTCTGAGAGGAGCTCAGTCTTCCTGTTTCTCTGTTCAAGACTCTAACAGCTCAAAAGATGTGTTAGGATGAAAAGCACAATAAAAAATATATATATCCACTTAAAGACATTTCAAGTATGGTTGATGTGCTGCCAAGAGCAATCCTGAATGGTGGATTCATGCGAACAAAGCATTTGTTTTACTTTTTGAATTCTATTAAATGGAGTATTTCATTTGTGTAGATTAAAGGTCTAGATGCTGATGGGAATCACGTTAAGAGTTCCATTCCCCTCCTCCGAACTCAGACACAGAGAAGAGTCTGGCTCTACCTCTCCTCCTCCCCCAGGGAGGCGCATTCTGGTATCACACACGCATCCTGCAAGTTAAGTGTGTGCCTGGTAAATCTGTTCAATGCTTCTCTGCTGAGCGGGACAAAATTAAATACTTGCCTGCACAGAATTTGGACTCTGAAATGAGAATGGTGAGGAGCCTTAGTTGGCTGACTGTAATAAAGGAAGGACTCAGCCCTGCTCACATTTTTGCTTGAGAAGAGCCATCTAGACCATGGTCAGGACTCTGTAGGTAACCCGCTCAAGGGCAGCTCACACTATTCTCCCAGATATGATTCTCAGATGGAAAGAACCATGGCATACGCCACTTGGCGTATTTTTCAAAATGGCTATGATACCAATTTACACTTTTTTCTCCCTTTAATGACTTGAACCAGAACTGAGGACATCCTCAGGTACCTTAGCTCTGAAAGCAATGTGAAACCGATAATTTGCAATCACTAGGACTTGCAGCTTGTCAGTCTCACCCGTATTTGCACAGACCAGAGTAATCCTCTTATTCCATTATGGACAGTAAGAAATCATTCAATTTGCAGAATTAACCATCTGAGTCTACTCTAAACTTTATAATAGTCATGTACATATTTGGAGTTACTCAAATTCCAATAGAATAAAAGGGGCTATTTTTGCGTCATTGGCCTTCTCAGCCTTTCCTTAAGCAATAGTCCACGACCACTCACAAAGTAAATGCCAGCTTGCCACAGGGGAAGCTCAGTGTGATGCCAGTGCAAAGCAAAAGTGTCTTCACCGCTGAAAGGTACTGTCAGCTTCCGAGAAACGCGTTAATATCATGCCTATCATTTCGACTGGGAGATGGCGTCAGTGGTGCGGACAGCAGCACCAACAATGTACAACCTTCAAGAGAACTGGAATGAGTGCACAGAGAAGCAATCAACAGTATTTGACCAGTTCTGTTGAGTCAAGATTCTTTGCAAGAACTCTCCTCTTCAACTCCACCCCACCTTATTCTGCTCCTGTTTTAGACCACTGAAGTTTTGCTTCTGTCACGTCAATTTTGAAGCTGGCCATTCTAGAGTGATGATTTTATGTTATGTGGCAATTCTTAAAAGATTTGCCAATTGAGTTATTTTTTTTTAAACAGATGAGGGTGATCAAATTACTGGGGAAAACGTGGACACAAAGACATACAATTGATTTGGCTCCAAAGGCGCAGACTGAACTAAACAGAGGATTGCATTAAACCATGGTCGGATTAAGTGGGAATGACTGTGCCTTACACTAAAATTTTTAATTGGATTCTAGAGTCACTGTTACACGAAGTGTATGACCTTCTTTATATTCTGGCAGAGTTACTGCTTGGCCACCGGGTAA